TCCTGAATTTTTCTTATCCTATATAATATCTCTTTCAAAGAGCAATTGACAGTTCATCTTAGCTCATTAACATGTGCTAAGCATCAGTTTCTTAATTTATGGGAAAGCTCTGTACTCCAGGCCAAACATATTATTTTTGCTTTTCAACAGTGACAAAGTCCATCATCATCTTGTTTTAGAATCACAGATACGACTGAGATTGCGCTATTAGCTTTTTTTTTAAGATTTCATTAGAGACAATCTGTATCATGTTGACATAGTTTCATCATCCATAAAAGATAATAAAACGGGCAAAGCACAGTTACTTTATTGGAAATATATTTTATTCTACCAGTCTTAAATCTAATACAGGGCCTGATTAATTTTTGGCCATCTTAAACTTACTTACAGGTAATGTGAAAATAGCAGTAGTAAGTGCAGTGAGAATTTTTCATTCATTTTCTCTTTGTCCACCACTTTAGGAATAAGTATTGTATTCTACATAATATTGACAGTGGCAGACTGTCATGACTTTATGTATGTCATTTAAAAATATATTTTACAAATAAAATCAGAAGTATAAATTTAAAAGTGTTGAAATATTTTTACACCTTATTTAAAATTAAAGCCCAGAAAAAAAAAAAAGCTATCAAAAAACATGTAAATCATATTTTTTAGCAGGTCATTGAAATAAGATGGACCCTGTTCACAATGATTGTCTAATTTCCCATGTCTAAGAGTTGCTTTTTAAAACTTTTTTTGGATCAAACAACTTTTTAAACCAGGTAAGAAATAACTCAACAAATAAGAGGTGGACGAACAAAATCTTTTGTCATTTTGACCATTTTTCTAGCATCAATCTATTTCTGAATGCACATGAGTAAAAATAAAATAAATAATCTTGTGGTCTCATTATTCAAATTACACTACTGGGCCTTTTCTTGGTGGGCTAACCATAAATGTGGTCATTCCCCATGGAATTTTAATGTCATCAATTGATACAGGGGAGCAGAATCCTTCTATGTTATGCTTCTGTTAGAGAAGATTCTACTTTTCACGATTTGAAGCTTGTTTTTATTTTTTATTTCCCAGGTTCTGAATTCTAACACTTCACTTACTTAACTCTTATCAGTGCAGAATGTGATTAAACACTAAGCAGAATGTCTCACAAGAATCACCACAGCAGACTTAGACTGCTCAGATATTCTCTCCTGTCATTTAAGTAGTGGAAAAGAAGATGACTATATAATTAACTTGTCCCTACATAGCATTTTTATCTTAGAAACATAAATTATTATATCAGTACTAGGTAACTGGAATAAAAGTCCATTCTGATAAATGTTAGGTATATCCTTAGAAATGTTCACAAGCACCTAGAGCATAAAATTCTGGACATGAGTTAATTGCAGTTTAAGATGTTACTTTAAAATGGACGTGCAGTTCCTTTGATGGAAGTTACCTTCTCTTCAGTCTGTTTCACAGGTAAGGCACTTTCTACAAGTGTGTTCTCAATTTATTTCAGACAAAGAAGTATTTTGACCTACTTAGTCTAGTCTGGTTGATTTGGCATGATTTCGTACGCAACAAAGTATAAAGCACTGACAGATGTTTGCTGGCTACTTAACTAATTGCTAGAGAATGATACATGTCTTTAAATTGGCGAGACATGGATTTGGTGAACGGACCACTCAGTGGATAAGGAATTGACTGGATGGTCACACTCAAAGAGTTGCGGTCAACAGCGTGATGTCCAAGTGGAGACCAGTGATGAGTGGCATTCCTCAGCGGTCAGTATTGGGACCAGTGCTGTTTAACATCTTCATCAGTGACATGGACAGTGGTATTGAATGCATCCTCAGCAAGTTTGCAGACAACACCAAGCTGTGTGGTGTGGTTGACACGCTGGACGGAAGGGATGCCATCCAGAGGGACCTTGACAGGCTTGAGAGGTGGGCCTGTGAGAACTTCATGAAGTTCAACAAGGCCAAGTGCAAGGTCCTGCACATGGGTTAGGGCAATCCCAAGCACAAATAGAGGCTGAGTGAAAAATGGTTGAGAGCAGCCCTAAGGAGAAGGACTTGGAGGTGCTGGTTGATGAGAAGCTCAACATAAGCCGGCAATGTGTGCTGGCAGCCCAGAAGGCCAACTGTATCCTGGGCTGCATCAAAAGAAGTGTGGCCAGCAGGTCAAGGGAGGTGATTCTGCCCCTCTACTCTGCTCTCGTGAGACCCCACCTAGAATACTGCATTCAGCTCTGGAGTTGCCAACACAAGAAGGACATGGAGCCAAACCAAAATAATAATAAAAAAACTCCAAATAAATCCAACTCAACAAAAAAACCCTAAACCAATCTAACATGAATAGTTCATTCTCTATTACAGTGAGGTCAGTAAAATTCTTGAAAAGCACAAGCTGGATAATAGCTTAAGCACTAATAGAATTGTGAGCAAGTTCAATCTAAGTTTTATTTACTTTTACGTGTTAAAACATATAATGCATAAACCAAAAAAGGAAGAGCTTAACTTCAGATTCTAGGTTCCATATGAAGGTCTGGTGACTGTGAAACAGGATTTTTTTTTTTTTTTTTGCTTTTCAGAATTAAGCAATTTGCTCTAGAACCTCCCTGAAAACATTAGCGCATGATCCTCACGATATCATTTCTACAATGATTCCTTGCTTCTCCTTCCAATGTATTTATCAACAAAGTCTTTGGTGATTTCAAGGCGGGCCTGAATGTGCCTTTTCAGTTTATATAGAGCACCAAATTCAGAAAAGAATATTAGACTCTTCTTTTCCCCCCAGTTATCCTATAAACAGCTTTTCAGATCAAGATTTGTCATCTACTTTCCATGCTTTCAAGAAAAAGGAGTAGTTAAAAGACAGTTTTAATATTATAGTAAAATAATTAAGATCCTGCCCTCCAGTTCATTGTCATTAAAAGACAACATTTTTTTTTTTTTTTAATATAAAAAAATACCGTATGCACTGGTACTACCTATTAATATGTGCATCCTGTACATTTCTGCAGAAAGGTAGGAAAATCAATTTGCAAAGTAGGCCGTCTACAACCTTGAAAAACACTAAGGTTTTCTTTTTTTTTTTCCTTTCAAAGTGAAAAAAAAGGATATTTTTCTGCGCTTTTCACTAGTTTGGCAAATACAGGCCTTTTTTTATGTAAATCTGCTTCTTCAAGTCAAACAGAAAATTCATTTTAGTAAATAGGTAATTTTATACATCGTTCTCATCAGTTATTTGTGAAAGTAATCTAAATGTTGCTACTGCACCTAAAATTCACAGGAAGATTCAGAAAAAACAACATTATTTTAATACCCACAAAAATACCAAATTTGAATTATTGATTTGGTACTTTTCTTGTCTTCACATCTGAAATGAGTTTAAAGCTCATCTTCCAAAGAAGAAACATGGTTAAAAAAAGCAATTGTCCATTTTTATTTTGTTTACATTGCACTGAAAATTTACATCATACTTTTACAAATCCTTTTTCATAAAAATATACTTCTTTACAAAAGTGTATGCATTAATATAAGAGGAGTAGCCAGTTGCAGAAGAAACATTTTAAACAATCTCAAATGTATTAACCTTAACATTAATGAATGAATCATAGTTATTGCAGTCATTTGAATAAACAAGAATAAATAACAACCAATGGTATAAAATATAAAACAGCATCCTTTTAGTAGAATACAGTTTGACAGAGTTGTATGAATATTCAAAACAAAGTGTTGTAAAATGGTTTATAAGAAATTCATCAAACATTATAGAAATCCAAGCAGCAATCCTGGGTACAATGATTTTTGGTAGGCACTCTCTATTACGGTAATAAAAAGTTTAGATTTTCACAGAATTATTAATGTCTGAAAGGGACAATAACAGATATTTCACACTGGCTAACACACAGCATTTGTGAGTCATGCTATGAATGGAAGACAATGACCTACATCAAATAAATTACTGAGTTGCCACTGAACAATTCTGACATGAAATAATCGTAAAACTGAAAATTACATTTCCTTAGAAGTGATTCTGGAATGTCTAAAACTTGTATCTGAGGGCTGCGGAATCTGAATTGTCCCTAAAATGAATGGATTGTCCCTAATAAAATCATGGCTTTATATATATATATATATATATATATTTTAAGTATTTTTGTTTTCATTGCACTATGGTAATATATTCAATTTTAAATCATTAGCTGTAAGGATTTGTTTTCGTAAGTATGGAATATATAGATAAAATAGATGTGAAAAGACAGTATTTCCAAATTATAACTTCCTCTTGCCTTGTAGATCTGATCCAGTTTATTGAAGTCTGTTAGAATCTATCAACTTCAATGGGATTTTGCCATGCTTTGTGCATGCATTTTGACAAAACGCTGAAGGAATAAAGTGAAGTGATATAGTCTAGATTTAATTAGCATGGACTGAAAAATGGACTCTTAAATTTCTAATATGTGAATTTGATTACTAATGTTACTGTAAACTGCACTTTTTAATTGGATATATCATCAAAATATGTTTTCACATTTGAAAAAAATGTGAGATGGTCACTCTTTTGAATGATCTTCAACAGTAAGGAACATAGTCACATGACAAAGATCAATTCATACTAGCTTCTTGATTGCAAAATTTTTCTAGCTGTATGATTGACAAAAGAAATGTAGAAACATTACCATTTGTAGGTATGGGAAGGAAATTAATTAAATAAGAACATGACATTTAAATTTCTCTTCTGTGACGTGAAAAGATTAAGTTGTACTTGCTGTTCTGAGAAGAAATAAAATACTAAAAGGGCTGAATAAATGAAAAAAAAGGTATAAACTCATGAGAAAGATGTAGCATATGACTGTTAAAGAGAAGTCAGTGACCTATTGTCTCCTGTAAGTATAGCTCTTATTTTCTACCTATATCTTTTTTTTTTTTAACCCAGTCCCTCTATTATAGTTTTTATAAAGCACAGAAATACTGATAGTGGATGCTCCTCCAATATATGCAAATATGTTTTATGTTTTAGAATAACCTCCTTTTTTAAAAAAGCAAATAAACTGTGAGTAGCACTCATGGAGTGCAGCAATTTTTTTTTTTAAACTTTCCGTGATGTACACGAAGAAGAAATCTGATCCAGTTTATGAAAAACAAAATCAAACCAAAATAATCACAACCCATTCTTGTCTATCATCCTCAGGAAAAGGTGACCCAGTATATCCTGAAAAGTGTGCTTTAATTATTTTTTTTAATTTCTTTTTTTTTTTTTTTTTAATCTGTGAACTGTGTGTGCACTGTGTTGTGTGTCAATTTCCAGACTTTGAAGACGTATCATTACCACATTATACCATTGTGCAAACAGTGTTCAAGTTGGGGTCAAATCGTACCGCTTTCCCTTCCACAGACTTTGCATTTGTGTCATACATGGGGTTTTCAAAAGCAGCTTGTCCATTATTATTTTCATGTACAGAGCATCCTGTATACTGTGTTTTAGGTGCAGTCCTGTAGAAGAAAGACAGAGTATATGTAACTGCAGTTTTCCTTACTGCGGTTTAAGAATCTGAACAGAATGTAGATCCCAATTCCAATGATGGGAGCTAAATATAACATCTTCATTTTTTTCACAGTATTGGTGCTAAGAACTAGTACTCTCTTTATCAAAGTTTAAGAAATCTAAAATTATATTCACTTAAAAATTTAGTAAAAATCTGAGAAGAGGTAGGTGTTTCCACTTGGATGATCAGATGATAAATAGTTAAGAGTACAACAAAATCTTGTAAAGATACAATAATTCCCCAGTCAGATGACTGAGATTTTCTTTTTCCCTTTGGAGACTCAACAAGTTTATCAAGAATGACTTTGTAGCCAAAACATTTTTTTTTTCACTACATAACTCAAAATGTCAAAGTTCAATCCCTTGAAAAAAGTTTTATCTATATTGTTATACAAAATGCAATATAATATATAAAGACAAGTGCATACAGTTAATAGCAAATGCATAAATAACCTACATGAGCATTTTTTTACATTCTGAAGCAGTTCAAGAACAAATGGCACCATTTAAAAATGATGCTATGTGTTTTAAACTAATGTTATCCTGTAGAGTATATCACAATTATTACTGTCAGGCTACCAGATGTAAATCATCATTTTGACAGTTAGAAGACAATGAATTGTCTTGTCATTAAAGTGTTTACATTTTCTTTAGTCACCTAACGCGTTAAAGCTATAGGAAAAGATTACTTGACACTGAACTAGTACTGGTCTCAACAACATGAACAAAGCAGTTGAACTTAGACAAATGAAATTAAGACGATTGGTGGCTATGTAACATAATTGCATATGAACTAATAATTTCAGATGCAGAAACAGTTCCATAATGTCTCAATGACATGACACTTGCATATACTTGCAAGCCAATGAATAGAGCAGATATTAAAAGAAATTACTCAAGATATGACTCATAATTCTGTCACAAGCAAAAAAAATAAATGCAGACAAATCTACTGTAAGTACACATAAAATCTATTCATTATATTATTCCCCATATGCCAATAATCTATACTTTACATTTTGTTATCATAAAGGGAGAAATTTATATTTTAAATAGGTAGGAATGAAACTATAGCACAATACAATAAACTGATCTATCAGTCATTATGCCAGATCTTAATGGAGGTAGGAAGAATTGTCTACATGCATATTTTGCAAACATTTTGTGGTTTTACAGAAAAATTTATTTAAGCTAACAAAGATTGAAGGCAATAAAACACCACGCCATACAAGAATTCTGTATACATAATTTGTACTTACCTTTGTTTATAAAGATAAAAGCCAAAACCAGCAAATATAAGGGCAAAGAAAGGCACAAGGATAGCAATGGCCACTGAACTACTATTTGTACCATGTGGTTGATTAGAAGAATTTGAACTCTCAGACATGTTAAGACCTAAAAAGAATAATACAAAAAAAAAAAGTAATATATGTGTCTCTTACCCCTTGCACATACTAATCCACAAAATTTGGAATTCAATAACACCTTGTGATTGGGTTATCATAATATGTTCAGCTGTATACATATAGCTGTATGCTGAGGCCACCTGGAAAGTACATATAGTGTGGTATAACATATTCTGATTAATAAGTGGATGCAAAATGTAGGGAGAACAATACATATACTCTGATACAGCAAATATCTTACTGTGAAATTCTGTATGGGATTCGAGTTTTGGATGTTATTGGTACACTTTAAGGTACTGTGTTACAAAAGGTCAAATTTATAATGCATATGTTAGATTGATTATATTACTGATTATATTTGTATATTTCAGAAATTCATAAATACTGCATATATAAGAAGCAAACGTGATTTCATAGAATCATAGAATCATAGAATCATAGAATCATAGAATGGTTAGGGCTGGAAGGGACCTTCAAAGGTCATCTAGTCCAACCCCCCTGCAAGGAACAGGGTAAATCACCTGAAAAGGCAAACTGAAAATTCATCTTGTTGATTTCATTAGGTGTTGCTATTAATACATGGAGTGAAAGAGGTAGGAACGATTGTGAAGAACTAAAGCCAGATATTGATGAAAAAATAAAAATATGATCGGCTGAATGGTTGAGGAGGACATTATCTATATCATCTACACAGGCAAGATATACACCTTTTTAATGTAAGGAAAGGAATACCAACACAACTTCAAAGTTAATTTTTAAGCTTTGAACTGGATCTTTTAAGAATTGCATAGGTCATAATATTTTCTGAATTTCTTGATCTTGCAAGGCAATATTTAGAATTTTTTTTTTTAAAAAAGAAACTCAAGATAATTGATATACTAAAATATAGAAAAATAATTAAATGTGAGGAAAATTGTATGGGAACAGCAATCAAAAGAATTTGTTTCAGACAAACTACTTTTGAGCTTGTGTGCATGAAAAAATGAAGTGGTAAACATGCTAAACAAAATCTGTTCAATGATGGTAAATCTGTCCTTAACTGTATTATTGACTGTATGGACTACAATTAATTCTTATAAAGAATTTAAACTTAAGTTAACCATTCTGTTCCTAGAAGTTATAAACCAATAAAAAGTACCTTCAATATACTACAAAAAAGAATCTCACAACTACAAAAAAAAAAGAAAAAAAAAGAAAAAAGAAAAAAGAAGAAAATAAAAAAAGAAAAATCCCTCTTAAAATCAAATAAAGAAATAAAATTTATGTAAGAATCTATCAAAACACTTTATCAAGGAAGTCTTGAATTTTAATTTTTGTTAGATAAACTTTCAAATATTTAAATATTTAAAGGAAATGTTTCTTGATAAAGATATTTCTAAAATCTCTTTTTAAATAGTTTCCGTATGCAAATACAGTGAAAATCAAGATCTCAAGCAGTGCATTTTACTATGACTCAGAACTGTGAAAAAAATAAAGCCTTTACTTCTTACATTCATTACTAAATATTTCCAGCACATTCAAGAATTGAAGAATTTCCTGGTTTTACTGAATAAAATAAGAGTTGTCAATCCTTTGCAGCTGAAAGAACCTACTTTTGCATACACATATAGGAATTTTATCAGAAGCACTCTATCTAAGGAGCCATTACATTAGTGAAAAGTAATTCCTCTTATAAGACATTCTTAATATTATTTTATCATTCGATAATCTGCTACTAACTAAATTGAAATTCTTGTTCAAAGAGAGATATCTTAAGACAGTATCAGAAAAGTAAACAAAAATCTTTTTCTTAAAAAGCACAACAGAATGTTGTTAGCAGAGCTCTGTTCTCTGTTACCAGAGCTGTCTTCTCCAAGAAAAGAAAAAAAAAAAAGATAACTAATTTGGTGTAGAACTGAATGTATAGAACCAAGAAGTCAATTTTTAGAAAATAAATGCTTGTCAACTAAGTAAGATTTTGTTCTTCTTAAGAGTAACATAAAGATTTACTTACAAATATTTAGCAGTTTCACTCTTCTAGCAAATGTTTAAGTGAAATGCTTTCAGCACCATGAGCAAGAGATCAGTTTAGCAGAGCATTTTATAACATGGGCTTTCCAAATAGTTATCAAGATATGAAACTAAACGCATTTTACACGTATTCATAGAAAAAATATTGCTCAAAACATTACAAATGTATAGCTAAACTAAGCAGTTCATTGCAAGGCATCTGTAGGCCCTTAAAACTTCTGACAAAATACTCTTTGTAAGTACTACTGAAACGAGATTTTACAGATATGAATATCTCAATATTCCACAAAATACTGGTAATTTTCTTCAGATACCCTTATACTACTGGATGTAATAAAACAGAATATGGAACAATGAACCCGCAAAAACTTGGAATTTGCTGAATACCTAATCTTTGAAGTCCAAATTGTCCGTAATCTTTACCCTGGATGAATCCTTGAAAAACATATGTTGCT